TAATGTTCCATGTGTCCAATATTATAAATGACTCAAAAACATTATTGCTATTCTTTATAGCCCTGGTGATATATTAAAGTGCTTAAATTAGCAAGCACTTAAGAGTTATTATGTGTTCAATGAACAAATGGACACCTAGAATTTTAAGGTTTTAATCAATTGAAAGTCATCTAAGTCTTTATAAACTAACATTGCATCTCACTTATTTTTAATCTAGTACCATAGTCAACAAAAGAAGTGTGACAATTTTTATATTTAGGTCAGTGAGTGGAGACTGACAAGCATTTGTCTATATTGAAGCCTTCCTCCTTTTTTTTTTTTTTTTTTTTTTTTTTTTTTTTTGCAAAATGTTTATATATAATTACATGATAGCAGAAAGACATTTTTGAATTCTCTAATGGTAGGGGATTTTGTAAAGTGTTGCAAGGTTGATTTGTGTACCATGTCCTTTTATGAATACAAGCTGGGTTGTCTCTCCCCCAAAATAAGGCAGTTGAGAAAACAATAAACAATGGTATAATGGCTCTTGGAACTCTTACAATTGCTTCATTCATCTAGCAAAGATTTTGTAGTGAGCAATAAAAATTCTCAATTTGTATATTTTGAATATAGTTTTAGAATATTCTTGCTTCTCATTGATACATTCAGTGAATAGGGAAAGTATTAATGTAACTTGGAATCTAATTAATTAACTATTTATTAAAATATAAGAATCTGAAGTACAGAAGAACATATTTGCTAGTATATATGACTGTCTTTCACTGAACCTGGAACATGCTGCTTCAATTAGAGTGACAGATTACACAAATTACATAAATTACAAAAATACATAAATGGTGATTCCAACTGTTCATCTAATAGATATTATCTCTGCCCTCTGAAATATATTCCATACCTAAACACACTGCATGTCAATCATATGTTTAACCAAAAACAGATAATAAAAAGTAACATCTATAATACCACCACACAAAGAAAAAGATTATAGGAGTAGATACAAAGAGAGCTTATAATAGTTACTCCTTTTAATGTGATGTTTAAATTTGGTGTTATAATACATATTTATGAACATCAAGAAAATAGAGATAAAATTGTTCCAAAAAGTCTAAAATGTTTGGAATACATAAGCAGTGAAAATATTTCTCTGCTAAGGCATTTCAGTGGATTTTTTTGTATAAGCACATATCTCCCACATGTAAAGAGTACATACAGAGTGAAGTACAAAGCAGTGGTTTGTGGTATTTCATTTTCTAATAGTGTGATATTTATGTAAGTGAAATTATCTGTTATTTAAGGCTCTTTGAAAATTTCAGAGTTAGGAGATTTTAAAATTCATAAAATATAATTAAAATATAATGGCAGTCTAGGCATTATGGACAATACTATGCCTCAGACAACAGTTTTGATAATCTGCTGTTCTGAATTACAGCCTATTGTTCTGAGGTCTGTATTATTTATGATCTTTGCAAACTGTGATAGTGTTCTATCTGATGGACATAATACAGGCAATACAAGTAGACATACTAATGAAGAAAAGTAAAATATGAGGCGCTGCAACCACAGACGTAAACCTCCAGAAAATAAGGAATACTGAGGTTAAAGGGCTAGTTTTACTTTTGGAAGAACTCCCAATAAATTTTCCAATAAAAAGTGATCAGCCATCAGGAAAGTTACAGACAAATGTATAGATCTAGAAAAACATCATCCTGAGTGAGTTAACCCAGATCCAGAAGACAAACACAGTATGTATTCACTCATAAGTGGTTACTAGATATAAAGAAAAGGATAACCAGTCTATAGTCCTCTGCCCCAGAGAAGCTAGGTAGCAAAGAGGACCCTAAGAGGGACACATGGATCACCCTTGAAAAGGAAATAGATGAGATCTCTTGGATAAACTTAGATAGTAGGATTAAATGACAGAGGAAGGGTGATAGGAACATTATGGAATGGAATGGTTGAGTTGAGGGGAAGGACAGAGTAGTGGAACATTGAAAGAGATACCTTGATTAAATGAGCCATTATAGAGTTAGGGAGAAACCAGACACTAGGGAAATTCCCAGGAATCCATAAGGATGACCCTAGCTAAGATTCCTAGCAATTATGGAGAGGGTGCCTAAACTAGCCTTCCCCTGAATTCAGATTGGAGACCACCCTGTCATCATAGAACCATCATCCAGTAACTGATGGAAGCAGATGCAGAGATCCATAGCCAACACCAAACCAAGCTTCACAAGTTCAGTTGAAAAGAGGGAGGAGGGATTATATGTGTGATGATTATTAGAGAGCAACCCACAGACAGTGAACCTGAGGTAGTGGCAGCTCAAGGACCCTAGACTGACAGCTGGGGACATATATGGGGCTGAACTAGGCCACTAGACCTTCTGCATGTAGAAGACAGTTTTCTAGCCTGGTCGGTTTATGGGACCCTGGCAGGGGGACTAAATCTATCGCTGGTGCATGCGCAGGGATTTTGAAACCGATTTCCTATAGTGGGATGCCTTGCTCAACCTTGATTCAGAGGGGAGAAGCATGGTCTTGCATCAACTTAGCCAGGCTTTGTGAACACCCCATGGGAGGGTTTACTCTTTCTGATGAATAGATAGGGTTTGAGTTGGGATGGGCAGGGCAAAGGTAAGGGGGGGAGCAGGAGAAGGGATAACTTGGTTGATAAGTAAAATGAATAAAATTTTTAAATAACAAAGTGTTCAGCCAAGAAATCATTTATGTAGAAGCAACACTAAATGCTAAACTCAGTACATTTTATTTATTTATGTACAATATGTGATATATATATATATATATCACATATTATATATGTCAACAAAGATAGCTATGAATATGAGAGGGAGCAAGGGTAGAGGGAATGAGAGGGCTTGGTGGGATGAAAGAATAGGGAGAAATGATGTAATTGTATTTTAAATTAAAAATAAAAGGATAAATTTAAAATAAAGAATTTTATTTTAAATTCTTTATTTTAAATTTCTAAACTTCTAATAATTTTACACCAAAAATTATATTTCTAATTAAGATACAAAAGTTTCCTTTCTAATGCTCTTTCATTGTTGTTGTTCCTGGCAGTTTCTAAAAGACAAAGATGAGATATTTTAAAGATATACATTAACTTGATATTTCATATAAACTTGACTTTCATTGTTATTCTAAGAACAGTTAGTTGATTCCTTTATCAGCCTTTTCATTTAAAAGAGGTTTTTTTTTTTTAATTTAAGGACTTGGGTAAAAGCATAATCATTGGTTTATGAATTTCTTTTTTGTAATATAAATTCCATTTACTTAAAACCTTTATTGATTGTTCTATACTTTCTATTTTGCATAATTACGTCCAATAGTTTGCTACTTGACAAGAGTTTATATGGTCAAGTATACTCATAATAAATTTACAATAAACATAGTAAACCACATGTTTAATCTTTTCATAATTAGCAAATTTAATATAGAAAGAGACATTAATTTAGTTGAGGAGAAATTTTATTTCAATTTCCTCATTTTTTCTACTAAATTCATAGAGGAGTAGGACAAGCATTTTTTCTTTCTTCAGCAAGGAATCACCCAGGAAAGTCCTCAATAACAAGAAACTGAATCATTTTAGAGTTCAGTTTGCTCAGAATTACACAGAAGTGAAGACAGCTGAAACAGCAAGCTCCATAGCATAGCCTCCACTATAACTTTGGTTATACCTTTCCTCAGAGACAGGCTGTGCAGCCTGCATCTCTTTATATTACTTAAGGATCAAAATATTTCTACACTTAGACTTTATTTCATCTAGAACTACATAATGAGTTAAAATATTCAAATGTAATCTGACTTTGATTTTCTTTTTCACTCAAAGCAAAATCCAAAACTGTCTTTTATTCAGTGGACCTACACCTAGAAGTGTACACTCTATGATATTAATCTACTAAATGCATTTTAATTGCAATGGTCTTTCAAGGTGCATAATGTGCACTTTGGAAAGATTCTCCCACACAAATTAAACATCTGCAATAATGAATATTTATTTCAGAATTTATATGTGATAGATGATAATACATTTCTAGCCTTAAAATCTTCACATTTTATCATAGAGTATGTCCCCCTTTTTTGGAAAAAAATACTGTCACAGCCTAAGAATATTTATAAAATAAATAACAAAGAAGTAAGAACATCCTTTTCATGAAATACTGCATTAGACCTTTGTTGGTTACTGGTATATGACTATTAAAATAAGGATGAGCACTCTTAGAAGAAACCTATAGGATGAAAATTACCAAGTGATTCTACACCTTAAGTTGGCACTTTAATGCTTATTTTTCTTCTATTCTGATTGTCAGTCTTTTGTGGCTTTAAGCTGAAGCATACATATATGTGTCTTCCCACACTCAAGCCAGTTCTCTTTTAAAAAAAAAATTATTTGGGATTTTGCCTGCATGTATGTCCATGTGAAAGTGTCAGATATTGGAGTTAGAGAGTATTGTTAACTGCTGTGTGGGTACTGGGAACTGAACCCTATTCCTCTGGAAGAAGCCCTCAGACCAGTTCTTAAAAGCTTCATTTTATCTAATAACCATGAACATTTGTATTGTGGCCTCTAAGAACTTCATAAAGGAATTTGAAATAAAGATGGTTACACCAAGTTTAAATCATTGTTGTACAGATAGTTTTTATGACTCAAGATGAAAACGAAATATTATTTAAAACTTTAATAAACTAGTTATAATTAAAACTTGGTAAGTATTGACAGGATTATTAAACTTTACCTGTTGGAGAAAGATTGCTCTAATCATTTATTAAATGAATGAATGCTATATGATTTAAATATGTGTTTTCAAGAGTAGACATAAAGATCTTCATTTTTTGCCTACTTCCAACAATACTGTGATATGTAATGGATGTTTTTTTATGATTCTTAAAGAAAAGTGCCAATCACAATTAAGCATTAAAATAAAAACTGAACTGTAAGTAAACTCAATCTCATGACCTGTCCTTGCTTGTTGGTTTCTCAGGTCTGACTGTTGATCACTTCGGTGAACGCATCTACTGGGCTGACTTTGAGCTCTCCACCATTGGCAGTGTCTTATATGATGGTTCCAGTCCAATGGTCTCTGTCAGCAGCAAGCAAGGTTTGAAGAATACTTTTTGTTATTGAGAATATTAGTTCATGACACAGAATAATGGACATTCTGCACCTGGGTTTCCTCTAATTATTTCAAATTGAAGTGTTTATATTAACTAAAATGTTCTGCCCCACTGGTATATTGAAGAGGTCAGGTAACAGAGTTCCTCAACTTGGACTCACATGGGTGCTTGCTGCCCATGTTCAGAAATTATATCATTCTGTAAGCCATTTATAGTTAGTGCCAGTCAACATCAATTTTTTTTGAAATTGTGATAATGGGCTCAAGGAAACATGTTACTCTGAGTTCTTCATCATGAGCATAGTTATTAGGCCAACTGAAAAGTGAGGTAGCAACCAGTAACCCTCCCACCAGCAGTGCACTCTCTTCTGTGTTTCACAGATGTGTATATTTTCCTCTTGGATTCTCTATCGTCCTACCACCCTGTATTTTTTCATTTTCTGGTTCCCCCTGATTGCCTAACACATTCTTTTCCAGGCTGTCAGTATTTTTTTTTTCTTCTGTTCTTTCCTTTTCACGTCCTTTCACTTTCCATAATATACCACAATCAAAGTAAACTTAAATGTTATGATTTTTATTACTGTGTTAAATAAATAAAGTTTGCTTCATAAGGATTTTATAATAAAAATGAAGATTATGAAAATTAATTGAAGGAAAATTATGAGGTATCTTTGATTCAACAGTGTATTACTACTGTTGTCATTGGTTAGTTTGTTTGTTTACCTGGTTTCCATTCTTAGGTCTTTACAAAATGTTTCCCTACTTTTACATCTGCATGATATAGTGTTGAAAAGACAAGTAGCACTTGGAAAAACTATGAGTTTATATATATATATATATATATATATATATATATATATACATATATATATGTGTGTGTGTGTGTGTGTGTGTGCGCGCGCGCGCACATGCGCACGTGTATGTGTATGTGTGTGTGAATGTTTTGCCTATATGTATGTGTGTGCACCATGTCCATGTCTGATACCAAGGGAAAGTCATATGAGGGGAGTTAGAGAAAATGAAAGAATTACAGATGATTGTGAGTCTCCAGGTGTGCTGGGAATTGAACCCAAATCCTCTGCAGGAACATAAAGTGCACTTACTGGTGATTCATCTGTCCAACTTCTATCCATATATTTTCTAAAGCAAAAGACAGTAATACTTTTCTGTGGTGGTTGTTTGATAGTGCCTCATTCCATAGCTCATTCTGGCCCAAAAACCTTACTTTTCGTTGTTTCAAACTCCTGAATGATGACACAATAACAATTTGTATCATTTCAAATTTTCTGGTAATTACATGATAAACCACTAATTAACATGATAGATTCAACTAATAATTTAATCCATTAGAATTTTCTGAATAGCAGGCTTTTGCCACACATAAGGCTTGATTTTCTTATTGTCAATATCATACTAGAGACAGTTATTCAGCATATAATCACCTCAGCCAATTTTAAATGTAGCTGCAAAGGGGTGATGGATATGCTTGTTCAATAGGTTTTGGGTGACATGTTTATCACCTTACAGAAAACATTTAAAGAATATTTTTATGTTTGAAATTGACAAAAAACGAGTAATTGGATTTTAGGTATTTTTTGCTGTTAATAAAGTTTGAGTTAATATTCAGGCTGTGTTGTCAAATATTAATTGTAATATAATTGCTTCATCAAGTCATGATTGTCTAAGGCACTTTGGTGGTACTCACACTGGCATTAGCTCCTCTCTTTTGAACATTCTAGGATTGCTGCATCCTCACAGAATTGATGTCTTTGAAGATTATATTTATGGAGCAGGACCTAAAAATGGTGTATTTAGAGTACACAAATATGGTCATGGTTCAGTAGAAGTCCTACCATTAGATGTTGACAAAATAAAAAGTGTCTTAATATCACATCGTTATAAACAACTAAATTGTAAGTAAAATATATCAAACTTTTCCTTAGATATCTTAAAATGATATATTTTTAGCTCTGGTAAGTGTGTTTATATTTCTGTTATGCTAAGTTTGTCTTAGTGTCTCTAGACATTTCATATCAAAAAATAGATAGGAGCTTCTACTAGCCATAAGAAATAAGAACAATCTGTTGAATTTTCTTAGAATTAAAACTGCCTATTTAAAAAACCTTGTAAATATGTAAGTCTACCATGAGTTATGAAAATTCATCAATTGCCAATTCTCACTGTTGCTTTTAAAAACATTGATTACCATACCATTACCACTTCAGCATCAAGAATATTCATAGAAATCTCTTCCAAAGAGTTGTATCTCCTCTGATAATTTGTTTATGATTTATTATAAACATAAATTTCCAACCTACAATGAATTCATTAAATAAATTATTGAAGATTTTATGTTGAAACTATGTTGCAAGCTCATTCAAGGACAAAGTAAAAAATATGATTGCAATTCAAATATAAGTGCACATAAGTTGTGTTTATTAAATTGTTCCTGTTTCTTCATAGTCATTTTTCATTAAGACACTGTTTCTTTGTATAGCTCTTGCTGTCAAGGAACTCACTTTTGTAAACTAGGATGTACTCACACTGAGTGTCTGGCCTAAGTCTGCCTAACAAGCGCTGAGATTAAAGTTGTGTGTCACAACGCTTAGGTTTATAGTCAACCTTTATGGCAAGCGAAAGTACATTTCATCTTGAGTTTTTCAATAATGTAGCAAGACAACTATGTATATAATAATGGTGTGAACATATTCTATGAGGACTTAACTTCCTGAGATATTTCTTTATGGACTGCTGCATTAACTAAAAAGTACATATGCTAGGGCTATAATCAACAGAAGGCCACTTCATCCTACGTTATAATGTTGCCTAATTCATAAGCACAACTGAATACTGCGAGACCTGTGAATTCAATTTTTATCCCAACCTTGGTAGGACATGAACAGTATATTTTAGCAGAAAGGTTCTGTGATCTGGGTAGAATATAGAAAAGACCATGAATCACTTCTGACTATATAAAATGTTCATTAGATAAACATTTAGATAAGTTTTTCCCTCAGTTTCCCACATAGTATGCAGGGAAGCATTTTATCATGTTTCCAATCATATCTTATTTTCAATTTTTGAATATACAAAAGCATATGAATTTTGAATCTTTTTGAATACTAGGGGTAAATGCTTTATGTGAAAACTGTACAAACCTTATAGAATAAGTTTTGGATCTCCAAATACTCAAGTTATGTTATTTTTTTGTGTGCTTGGAGGTCTTCCAGAAATTTAATATAGTGAGAATTCAGCAAAGTTCTCAGTTGATAATTCCTTTTCTTCTAAGATCAATTTAGACAAGCCACCTAGAATTTTGTCATGAATATTCTGATAAGGGCAGTCACGAGATCATCATTCATAATAGGCCAAAGGATAAAACAATCAACATAGATAACTGTATATGAACTAAAGGAAACAGATTGCTTTCAATTCAAAAGTTAACCAACTTTATGGAAAAGTAATCCTGAACTAATGATAAATACAAAGATAAACAATTGTATCCTTTTTATGATGGACAAACTTTTTTTTATTTTATATAACCAAGTCCATTTAAATGAAAACAAACATTTATAGACAATATTTGGGAATTTGGGCGTTGTTCTTTCCAAACTACTTCTTGCTGGCAAGGGATGCTGTCATGGGGGATTCGAAGAAGATTCAGAAATCCTGGCTGTAGTCTGTCAGGCTGCTTTGTCCAGCTGTTTTGAATGTAGGATCACCTGGTACTCTGTTTCAGGTGGTCTGGCTTGATCAAACCACATTAGTCTTGAAGGAATCCACATCTTTTCATTTTCTGTGGAAACAAAAATAGAAATCCTTTTTCCCCAGTAACTTGTTCTTGAACTTAAATTTTGGAGTCAAAGCATTTTTTTAATTTAATTTATTATTTTACATGTCGATCCCAGTTCCTTCTCCCTCCCTCCTTCCTTCCTTTCCTCCCAACCTCTCTCACTCCCTCCCTTCCTCCCTCCCTCCTTCCTCCCTTTTACCCTCTCTGCCCTCTCACATGCACTCTAACCATCCTCCCCTCCCATCTCCCCACCCCAATTCCAAATGTAGGGGAATGCCATCCAGTAGGGGTCATGTAGGTCTGACAGGTCATGTGAAGTAGGGACTAGGGCTTCTCTCCTGTCTCTAGATTAAGGCAGTTATCCCTCTATTGGGGATGTGTTCACAAAGTCCCTTTGTGCTCCAGGGACATATCCTGGCTCCACTGTCTGAGGTCCCTTAGACTGCTCAGTCCTTCTGGCTGAGACCCATATTCAGGGGGGCCTGAGTCAGAAAGGACAAACTTCTTTAAAAGGAAGGTATTGCATAATGAATTATTACTTATAAAATAGAATGTCAACATTAAAATGTGATAGCTTCAGTAAAATGGACTTTGACTTCTTTTTCACATTGTTATTTCATCATTTTAACTTGCTGAATTGTATACTTTTGAAAATTATTTCAACTTTTCTCCCTCACATCTGTTTTTGTTCCTTCATTTTGTTTTCATCAGTGCCGAATCCTTGCTTGCATTTGTCATGTGATTTCCTCTGCTTGCTGAATCCTTCTGGGGCCACTTGTGTCTGCCCAGAAGGAAAATACATGATGAATGGAACCTGCAATGATGACAGTCCATTAGGTGGGTATTCTCTGTTATTGTATAAAAACAGTCAGATGAATTATTTTATAAACAGTTGGGATGAATTTATATGAGATTTGGAAGTAAGCAGTGTTACTTTCTCCATCAATTCATCTGCCTTAATGCCAGTAGCTCTTGAATGTATATAAAACCAGTCCTCTCTTCAGAAGGCTCTCTACCTTTCTGCCTTTGTTAATAGAACAATGTACATTTAGCATGTGCTTAATGGATCAAAAACTGAGAAGTTACTCTCAGAACCTAAACATATAGATAATAATTGAGGATGAGTTTCCTCTACAGATATAAATTCCAGTCCCAGATTCATTTATTCTTCAAATGTGTCTTTGATTACTTCACATCTGTAGAATACAAATTGAGAAAACATAGGCTAATTTAGAAATTACCTTAATCTCTGCATTTATAGTGTTATACATATAAACTACTATTTATAGTAAGAATAATACTCATACAAATTTAAACTTTTACCATGAAGGCATAATACTAATTTGGAGACTAAGGACTAACTTAGAAGTGAATTTGACAATATTTGTTCATGTATCTTATATTTTTGAAGTATAAATTTAGAAGGAACAACCATTATTTCAGAAAGTAGTATATGTGAAAGTTTAGATTCAAACCGAGACAGTAAGATGAAAAATGAAAGAAGAAAATCTTTTCTTCTTGATAGCTAGTAGACAAAATTATTACAAACTTAAATTTTAGTCATAATTGGAACAATTCTATTAAAATAAAACACCATTCTTAGCAAATTTTAAGTCACAAATGAAAAAAATATGCTCCAAAGCACTTCTGGATCACAGCAAGCGTTTTTGGATGGGAGATAAATTTAGGATGTCTTCCCAGCAGAGTATCTTACTTACTATGTTTTCTTCTGAATTCACTGGTCATCTCAGTATTGTGTCTTCATTTGCACTCTCCATCCCCAGACCACTATCTCCTTGTTTTCCACTGTGGGTTGTGGGTTACATTCAGTTTAAATACTTAACAAGAAACTGTCTAATTCAATTTTAATCTTATCATTTTATTAATGTACACATTTTAAACATTGACTATGTAAGTGCCTGTGTGCGTGCCTGCGTGCTTGCCTGCGTGCGTGCCTGCGTGAGTGCCTGCGTGAGTGCCTGTGTGCGTGCGTGCGTGCGTGCGTGCGTGCGTGCGTGTGTGTGTGTGTGTGTGTGTGTGTGTGTGTGTGTGTGTGTGTGTGCTTTGACACAGGGTTTCTCTATGGAGCCTCTACTGGCACTTGCTCTGTATACCAGGCTGATCTTTAACCCATGGATATCTGCCTGGTCAGCCTCCCAAGTAAGTGCTAGGATTAAAGGGATGTGCCATCACTGCCTGACCTGTTTCAAATATATTTAGGATTCAGATGGTTATTAAGTTTGAGGATCACTTTGAAGTTCATATATTATATGATTTTCAAATAAAATATCATAGACTTTGGATTTAGATTTAAGTTGAAGATCGAAGAAACTCTGAAGGACATGGAATTAGGTAGGGTATATAGAGGAAATACTGAAATATTAACTCTGTCAGGAAGAAAAGTAGAGAAATGCTGTGTGAGTAACAAGTTTTCAGAGTTCCTAATAGAGAGATGTGGATCATGCCTGGTGTTTATATTGTCATGTTAGTTCCAGTTAAAGAACACATTCTGTACTTGGTACTTAATGACCCTGTTACTTTGTTAATTTCTCACTGGCTAGAGTACCTGTGTTTCAGTTGTGCTAGGGAAATTAAGTATTTGCAAATGTCACTCTCTTTTTATTTATTTTTTTCTAACTAAGTCAAGAAACTGCACTGTGTAGGAGTGTGGAGTGTATGCAACCATTCAGAATGGAGTTTCTTATAATGTCAACTACTCCTATCAAGTGAAAAGTCTTACTTCACTAGCCTCCCACCCACACATCAATAAACAATGGTCCCAAAGGAACTTTCTGTGTTTTATTTCCACTTAAGTATTCAAATTGCTATCTATCTATCTATCTATCTATCTATCTATCTATCCATCTATCTATCTATCATCTATATAAAGAACAATGTGTTAGGACCAAAGAGTAATTCTTTGGTGTAGCTAACTCCAATTTTGTTTTGCCTGATACCAATGTTTGGTATACCACAATTCCTCAGCCTTTCACATGTCAGTCACTTTCTATAGCTGCTATTGTCAAAAGATGAGCACAAAATATTTTTAATCTTCATATAAGTAGTTTCAAATTTAAATATTATTTAGCCTTGAAAGAACATTGCCTTGTTCTTTCTGGTTATAATTGCTACACATTTGCTTCTGAGTATTATTTAATTACTGATAAGTGAAGACTTCTGTTTAAATACAGAAATATTAATGTGTTATATATGACTATAACTCAGCTTCCATTTTATCAGCCTCCTGTCCTAATTGGATTGTTCATCCCCTATCATCTGCAGATTTTGGTTGTTTGTATCATTCACATATAATATCTGGAGTTGGAAATTTATTTTCCTAAATGTGTGAGCTAGACATATTCTGGGAAGCTATTAAGAAACCACATGTCCGCTGCTAATATTCAAAATATTCTTCTAATCTTATAGTAGATATACTGTAGAGAATCTCAAGCTCAACTGCAAATGGGTATTTAAAATAATATACTGAGACATGAACCACTCTTACTTTTCCCATCTCCTTGACCCATTACTGATTTCACAATACTATTCCTCATAGTCATCTCTTTTGTCCATCATGCTTTGCTCTGCTTACATTGTCCTCATACTACCCAATCTGCATAATTTAAGAATAACATACTTGTCACCATACTTTAAGTTAAACATCTGCAAGCATACTTATTCTCAATATTTTCAGGTTCCTCAAAGTATTTATATCTTGGCATAGGTACAAAATTCAGTGGTCCTCTCATGTTATCCTATATCTTCAAAGATTTGATTCCTGTCATTCTTTACTTCACAACCCGGTCTTCTCAGATAGCCATTCTTTTCCTCGCTAGCTCTTGTTTTTACAAATACGCTACCACTAGAGTTGCTGTACTCTCAGTAAATCCCATGGGCAATCAAGAAATAATGTTCAGAAATAATATTATTCTAACAATTCACCAAACAAGTGATTCCATTGCTTAATAAACTCTAAACACAGTGTACATCCAAGTCTCAGTGCTTCAACTATTTTCTGTTCTAGACAATGTAGAAACTAGAATACCTAAAGGACATGCTATTGAATGGACACTGTGTGCATTTGAAAGTAATATTCATAGTTTTTAAATTTTAATATTTTTCAATAACTTATTTGATTTAATACTCTTAATACATTTAAATTTTGGTTTTAGCATACATCCATTTTAACTAAAGAATCCAAAGGTTACATAGTAAAGAAAATGAGTAAAATGGAATACATGAAAATCTACTGCCTAAACTAAGATGAACTAATTTTTGAAGATGGCAAAAGCATGCCATTTTACTGTTTACAAAACTGATTATATACCTTCAGAAAAATGGAAGCACATTTTTATCATTAACCTGGTTAAAAAAATAAAAAAAGGACTTGAATGGACTTGAGGACTTGAATGGATAAAAACATTCTAATTCAAAACCCAGAATACCAGAAATGATGCCAAGATCATAGAATATTGTTGTAGGCAAGTTGTATCTGAATATAACCCAGGTATCACAAGAGCTAGACTACATCATCAAGTTAAATTAAAAATGACTTGCATGAGAAGAGCAACAGACATCCAAAAGGAGAGAATGCAAATTTATACTAATTACAGTTCACATAGGGTTCTTTCTATAGCTAGAAACTACAAAGGAGTATAAAAATTAAATATTAAGAAAACATTGCCAAACAACAAATGAGCTAAATGTAATAAAAACATTGTTTTCAAGAGAAGAAAAGCAAACTGAACAAAATTATGGGAAAAGTGTTCAACAATCCTAGTCACCATGGACAGAAAAAATACTGCCTCATCTTAGAATGACTATCATTAAAAAAAGTCTGACAATAATTGTTCAAAAGGGTATGAGAAAAGATGAATATTTAATCACTTCTGATGGGGTACAAATTAAAAACAACATATGGAAATCAGTATAGAGGCTCTTCAAAGTACCAATACAATTACTATAGGACCCTGTAGGGGACATGAGACCTGCCCTACTCAGGGTCCTAAAGGTAAAATTCTGAAGGTCATGTTCTTTAATTCATGTGCTGTATTTTGTTCTTCAGTGCTGAGAAAGTTTCCCAGCTATGTATACTTTCAGTCAGCAATTACCCAGCTCTAGTTAGGTGCAAGGCAGAATTTCTCAGGGTCATAAAAACGATAAAAAGTTTTACACAATGCAGTAACTATCAGCCTTTTTTTATGTGATTAAGTCTCCAAGAACCTCAAAAGGAAAAATGGGGGTAAATTAACAGAAAAAATGAGAGACTAAGTCATTAGGAAAATCTAACAGGGGAATACATAGGCTTTGCTATTTTCTTAAACATGATTAGGTAAATAAGCTGAAGGTTAATGTGAGGTTAGCTTGGGACAGCCCTTCCATATCTGTTGGCAGAGTGAATTGTGGACACTCTTGCTCTCTATTTCTCTGAGAGCTATGGTTCAACAACTTCAGACTAGCCATAATTATTACCTTGGGTGTCTGTGGACGCCACAGTTGAGGTTACATTGTCAGGACACCAACACTTTCCATCTATGTGCCAAGGAAAATAACTGCTGCAGGGAAGACTTGTACATTTATATAAAGACCTGATTGAAAGAATAAGGGGATTGACTGTGATTACTTTCTTGCCACAATTACTCGTTGCAGGGGGGAATCATCCAATATACCAATTCATGGAGAAAAAAAATGTGTCCAGTAGTTTATTAATACACTACTGGGGTTATGGAACAAATCCCACCATAGAATCAGAGCACTATGGCTTCACAAGGAATTTACAATACGTACAGTGACTATTCATAGAGCAAATACTACCACCACCTAGTATGGGCCTCCTCCATCAGAATGTTCATGCCAGTGGATTAGATCCATGATTTTGCCAGCTGAGTTCTTATTGCATAATTCTGTGTTCCACAGCATGATCCAGTTATGCTATCCATAGGCATTGCATTGTTTGTTTTGTTTTATTTCTGTAACAAACCACCATGACCAAGGAAACATATAAAACAAAGTACTTAATTGGGTTTTCAGTTCTAGAGGCTGAGAATCCATGATGGATGAATGAAGGCTTGTTTGCAGGAAGACCTGACAGCTCACCTCTCAAGCCTTAAGCTTGGAGGTAAAGAGGATTAGCTCAAAATTATGTATTTTAAAACTTTAAAATTACTACACCTTACCCAGCCAAGACACAGGGTGTGGGGGGTGGAGAGCTATCTTGGTCCTACCTCAATGAGATAATGGGACAATCTGAGTACACTTCTTATCAGATGCCTTACTTTCTCTGAGGAGAAAATAGAAGGAGGGGAGTAGTGGGGATAGCAGGAAGAGAGAAGAGAGGAAACTAAGATTGGAATGTAAAAAATAAATTAATTAAAAAATGCTCCTGGTGACATACGTTCTCTAGCAAAGCCACATATCCTAATTCTTCCCTGAGAACCAATTATAATTTCTCATACAAAGTGAGGTGATCCAAATTCAGAAAGAAAAAAAAAATCTTCCTTTTATCTTTCATATGTGGATTCTATCTTACAACAATAAATGTGTACATGTAAACAAACAAGTGTGGGAATAAAGTCCAAAAATTGAGTAAGGAAACATGAGAGGATAATATCAGGTTATGTTGAAGGATGTGGGGGATGTAGGAAAAAGAATACATGAATAATAAATTATACAAAGCTAAAGTTTTTCTAGTGTCCAAGGTGCATAAATGAATTCAACTTGGTTTGTATTGAAGTAGAAATAACCAATTTTTGCTTTCCTGAAGATCCCAGCATGGGTTATTTCTCAGAGATAGTGGCTGCAACATGGCCTTTTCTTTTTAATCCATTGACAATCAGTGCACTAGAAATGCATCAAGGCTAATAACTAAGCACATGTGTCACATTGATCTACTTAGGAAAATGACTTTTGTAAAATTTATTCTGGGGCAAGATGTTCTGCACCCTGAACTTTTTCTCTTCTCTACTTAAAATTATATAAATTATATAAAAATACTCTTATAATGCTAATTATGTATGAAACATATTGCCATTCATAAAGCATAGTACTAAAAATATATCCGTTACAAAATATATTACATGTAAGAACTTTTGGTTACTTATAACAAATGTAAGGAATGATAAAAACATTGTAAAGAAGAAAATGAGATAAATATCTGCTTTTAGCTGCTGTGTATTTTTTCACCTTTCAAGTTAGGTATATATTGTAAAAAGTAAATAAATTCTAGTATACAAATGTATGTTTTTACTTGGATTCTTTGAGGCATCCTTGAACAACATGCTTGTCTGTATATTTCGCCATATACGTAGATGACTCTTGCAAACTGACTTGTGAAAATGGAGGGAGGTGCATCTTAAATGAGAAGGGTGACCTGAGGTGCCACTGCTGGCCCAGTTACTCAGGAGGACGGTGTGAAGTAAATCACTGCAGCAACTACTGTCAGAATGGAGGGACCTGCATACCATCCACTCTAGGTAAATATCTGCCCCATCTAGTAAGTGTAAATCACTTGCATTTTGTTAATATGTGAAACACGTGAGTTAAATAAAGCCTGATATTCATCAGTTAACCAAATTAATCATGAATTAAATTTAAAACTAATTGAACAAAATCAAAGAAATTTACTTATTGCATCAAAGTTAATGTCAAAAAAATTAGTAATAGTAATGGACACTAAAAAACCATATGGCTTGATCAAAGATCAGAATAACTGGCATTACCAGTGCTTTTTAATTTTCATTTTAAGGTCACATAATTACACAGACACAAACACAGATATGCATTTAAAAATAAAAGAATTCCATATAGAATTTGAATACATGTTTCATTTGAGTTAATTTTTTCCTTCCCCCTTTCTTGTACCTTATCTCCTTGTGTCCTTTGCTCTAATTCAAATTGATATTTGTGCAAGTTAAGAGATGTGTACCTAACTTAATTTTTTGCAGATTGATATCCAGTTTTTATAAAACACTTTTTTGAATATGCTATATGTTTGTGTATGCATTGTTGATATTTTTATAGAACTTACTTTTTCATGGCTGCATTGGTGTAACAGGGAATTTTGATTGTTTTCCATTGATCTACAAAAAGTACTATAATGCTTTTATCACCATAACATTTTAGCTTAAATTGATGTCAGATAATATGTGTGTGTGTGTGTGTGTGTGTGTGTGTGTGTGTGTGTGTGTTTGCTTATTAAGTGATATGTATTTGTGCATGGTGTTTCTGTGTGTGTCAATGTCTGTACACATAGGTGCTACAGCTCAACTAAATATATTGTTCTCTAACTTACTCATTGAAACAGGGTATCTTTACTGATCAAATCTCACCATTTTGGCTATACTAACTGGCCGGTAAGGCCCAGAATCTTCCTCTCTCTACTTTTCCAGTCATGATTGTATAGATGCACACTGACAGTTGTGGCTGAGGATTCGAATTTGAGTTCTCTTGCTTGCACAGGAAGCAATTTCTTTATTAGGCTTTCATATCAGCTCCATTTTCTTCCTTGGGAGGATTTTAATCACAAACTCAATGTTCTTACTTCTTATGTATCTGATTAGGTTGTTTATGTATTTTTATATATTCTGGATAATATGTGTTCATTTCTTCTAAATCATCAAGTCTGCTATAATGTTAGTTTTTAAATTATTAATTGCTAATCTTATGGATTTTGTTGAAGTATGTTGTGACAGTTCCCCTTTGTCACTAATTTTATTACTTTTGATTCTTTTTGTCTTGCTTTTCAATCTTCTCATTCACAAAGAACCACATTTTTATCTGATTAAACTTATTTATTATATGTTTGTCTCTAATTTATGCCTTAATTATTATTATTTCTTTCTGTCTGGTATATTTTGGCATTTGGATTTCTTGCTTTTCTAGAGAGTTAAGGTCCACCGTTAAGTTATTTATTTCATTTTCATTTCTTTATTTCTTTATTTTTATTTTTTTAATTTCCAGACATGGTTTCTCTTTGTAGCTTTGTAGACCAGGTTAGCCTCAGATTCACAGAGATCTCCCTGCCTCTGCCTCCCCTCCTGAGTGCTGGGATTAAAGCCATGCACGGCACATGCTCAGCTTTCTGATTTTTTAAAATGCAACTTGTATCTATAAAAAATCTTCTTAGAATAGCCTAGCCTGTGTCTCAGAAACTCTGATTGCATGTGCTCTTAATTTTTACTCTAGTAATATATTAATTTGTCATTTTTTTTCTATGACTAACTCTTCACTCTAAAGCATATTGTTCAGCTTCCAAGCATTTGCATATTTTCTAAGGTTAATATTGCAGACAGTTTCCATTTGTGTTCTTCTGAAATCTCGTGAAATTCTGAAAGTTATTTGTGTATATTTCTACAATGTGGCCAATTTTAGATAATGTTCCAAGTGTCAATGAGAAGAATGTGTGTTCTAATTATTAGTGTTGATTACTGTAGAAAATATTGATTATAATTGATCTATGGCTTAGTTTAACTCTGAGGTTTCTTCAATGATTTTTAATTTGAATGGCCTATATATAGATGGCATTAAGATTTAAAACCACTCATCATTGTTGTGTGATATTTTATTCCTTTGAGTGTTTGTTTTATGAAATTGGTCAAGAGATTAAGTGTATAATTATTTACAATAATTAAATCTTCTTGATAAATGTTCTTTTTTTTGGCATAGAGTGCCCTGCTTTGTTTCAGCTGATTAGTCCCACGTGCTCAGACACCCAGTCTTGCTCTTGGACACTCTTGTTGCTGTGCACTCAATTGTGGTGTGCAGCAATTGCCTTGAGTGCACTCCTGTGATTCCCTTCAATGCTGATCTGTGCCATGGAAAAGCTACTTTTTAAGAATTTAAAATATTTGCTTAACTCCAAAATGTGTGTATTTTTCTACTATACAAATAATGTCCCTAAAAATAAAAATCAATTAATATTTAATGTTAGTTTTTTAAGGAGAAATATAATACATGAGAAAATTTTATTGCATAAATTGACATTTGTAGGAATTGTAAAATCTAGGACATAATTATTTTCAAATATGAGAATTTCCTTACTTAAAATGTTACTATATGTGATACTGTTGTTCATTTATGCAATTGACTTGTTTGTAAAATGGTTTACTAATACATAAGTGAACCTATAAGTATGGTGCTTAAAAAAGGTTTATATTATAGATTGAAGGATTTGTGAAAACACAAATATTAATTTGTAAAAAAAGAAAAAAGTCACAGTGGTTAAATCATAAATTTATTCATTGTTGATTTACATACAATTATTTGTATAATCCTGTGTAGACAGTATGTAACAAGGGTTTTGATCAGACTTAATTAAAATATGACAGTTTTATACAAGAGTAATAATTAAAGAGAAGAAATATCAGTAGTTAACAAAAGGAACAAATCTGAGGGTTATATTTATTTTTTTATGGAGGGATGCATTTTCCTCATTCCTTAAAGTTTTAAAACATGTATTACTATAATGATATATATGACCTGTATCATATCGGACATCACTCCAAAATTAAATATTTTTAATTTATTACATCAAAAGCATACACTCTTTCATATCTATAATCGGCACATAGGATAATGAATTTAAGATAATACTTGCCTTGGAAAGAACAATGGAAATTAAGTAAAAGCATACTATTTTTCAATTATTCTTTCTTATAAAAGGAGTATATGAAACTCTTTAACTACTATAGATAGCTTATAAGACATTTAAGGAATTAGCAGCTATATTTACATTTAGTATTATTTTCAAGAATATATGTTCCTTAAGGTAGAATCTTTGCTGCTTGGTTATTTGAACATTTTTACAGGTCTGTTTTTAGGTTTATTGCATTACATGTAAGTAAATCAGGGCTTTGACAAAATTGATTTAGCAGAGTAGAGCAAGAGGATTTGTGAATCTGGATAAATCCAAGCACTCCTAATACTGAAATATTTGGATGTGCAAAACTTAAAACTAGATTAAATGTAATAGAACTTGTTTAAAAGTACCAATATGCATGTGGATATTTAGCAATGACATACAATTTGAATTGTGCTATTTAAATGAAAGGTGATCTGGAGAGGGGAATGCTAGAAAATGGATCCCTGAAGACAGAAATGAGAAAAATCAGGGAGAGCATTAATTGGGGAAGGGGTTTTGGTAGTAATGCAAGTGAAAGTGCATTTAAGATAAATAACAACATCAGGATACTTGAAAAACCATGAGAAATGTACAATCTTAGAAGCTTTAGTTTAATTTAATGCATTCTGCACAGTGAGCAAAATTCTCCAAAAAGCCATATACTTTGAAACAATAGTCATAATGCCAACAAGATTTTGTTTGAGGGAGTTTTAGAGAACCTCAGTATGATATAGGATGTTGCAATTGCTCTTGGTTCCCTGAGATATGAAGGTTTGTTTTTATAAAGAAGAAATCTGTTTCTCAAGGGAAGGAAAAGTAGTGCTCTCAAAATAATTAAGTTAGAAGCTAAGTGTTGTAAGAATTTTGCTAACTTGGAGCAGCTTGGACAACAACTCATATTGTGAAATATCCATGGTACACAGTAAAGTTCGAAAAACATCTTTTTTCCTTTTCTGAGTGGCTTTAGGGAGGGACTATCAAGCACATGTTTGGATTCCATGCTTTTTTAAAGCTCTGTTGTTTGCACCCATTATTTTAAACATGTTATTTAACATTCATGTTCTTCTGTTACCCCCTCCTATTGTTTTTCATTCACAAATTCTTGTCTTGTGTTCTGAGTCTTTGAACTGCTGCCTGTATGTACCTGGGTGTGGGATCATGTACAAGAAAATAGGTAGCCTCTCAGAGCTTGCATCACTTAAATTAAAAAAAAAAACTTTCCTCTTAAAGCGGGTATCAGATACTAATAGATTCTCATATAGGGCAGGGCATCATAAGCTCCACAGACTTCAATGCTGTGACTTTGCTGTTTTATACTTGCATACATACATACATACATACATACATATATATCTTATACATGCAGTCTCAGCTATGCATTCATATATGCAACCATATTTTTATATTTGACAAATCTTATTTCATTACAAATACACACTATCTTTTACTTAATGCCTTTTCTATGATTATCTCAGTCTTGGGAAGAGAACAGTATATCAATATCCTATTTATACCTGAATATCCTACAGTTTCGCATTCACTACATGTTGATCAATTATGAATCTCCATGTTAGTCATCATCTACTGCAAAAAGAATCTTCTCTGATTACAGTTTAGAGATGCACTAATATATAAGTATAAAGTAAAGAACTAAAGGGACAGCTTATTGCTTTATGCATTTAGCAAAATTACAGTATTTGGAATCTTTTTTCCATTAGAGACAATGACCTAGCCAGCTACATGTTTTTTGCCATTATTGGTATCAGATTTGGGTTCTATCTTGTGTAGGGTAGGCTTTAAATCCAATCAGAATATGGTCAAATGTTCCCATAACATTCATGCCATCTTTGCCGTATTTTTAACAGTTGGCGTATCTTGCCAAGTCATTCGTCATTGTTGTTCTCATGGTTTGCAATTGGGTAAAATTATTGAAGTCTCCTTACCAACATTCATAGCATACATCCTTCCTTCCTGCATTTTAAAAGCTAGCCACAGTCTATGGGGCCACTGGTAGTGGATCAGTATTTATCCCTACTCTACGAATGAACTTTGGGAGCCCATCCCACATAGAAGGATATTCTCTCAGTCTAGACACATGGACAAGGGCCTGGGCCCGGTTCCAAATTATATGACAGACTTTGAAGACTACTCATGGAACGGCTCACCCTCCCTGGGGAGCAGAAAAGGGATGGGATAGGGTTTGGTAGGGGGCTGGTCAAGGGAGGATGGGAGGATGAGAGACCTGGGATTGACATGTAAAAAAAAGCATGCTTCAAATTTAAGTAGAAAAATTATCCAAAAATACATTATAAAAACTATGGAAAGAAAAAAATTTAAAAAATAAGCTAACCTCAAGAAATCTATAGCAATAGGGCCATGCCTTCAGTTCTCAAGTAAAACCAAGAGCACTGGATTTATCCTATAATGTTTGTGGAAATGTCTATTAAATATTTGCTCTGATACTCTTATGTTTTGTACTTTGTCCACTGCTGCCCCTAGGTGCTATCTATTTGTAAAGCTCTTAGCATGAGTTACTTTTTCTTAAGTTATATGAGTAAGAGTATGAAATAATTAATTTTCTGTCATGCTCTTGTTTTTTGTAGTTTCCATGTAGCAAACTTACCAGTCTCTTCACTTAATACCTCTATCTGTTTCCCTTTTATGTCCTTATTTTAATTCACTAAACTGCCAGTGAAATATTTTCTTTCTATATCCAACAATCAATAGAAAAGAAAAGTTTGTAGGTTAAGAGAGTATCCCTCCATGGGGCATGTGCTCTGAAATGGAATGGGATGGTAAGTGGGCATGGGAGGGCGGAAGGGATGAAGGGAGGGATTGAGAGAGAACTGGGATTGATAAGTAAAACAAGAATAATAAATAAATAAACTGGAAAAAGAAAAGTATGTTTCCACTGTAAGGCAACCTCCTGCTATTATTCAGTAAATCATTTCTGGCAACAAAAATAATGCACTGATTCAGCTCTAATAATACATAAACCTCAGTCCCCTTTTACTGAAGCATTGAAAACATTCATCTACCATCAAACAACATTAATAAATATTTAATTTATAAATAAGTGCTGCTCACTATAAAAATAACTAAGATGTTTCTTGTTTGGACTGAATTCTTATAATGGGTATAAAGATGTAGCACTTTCCAAGTAAAATCAATAATACATTGTAGATGTGTAGTCATTCTTTAAGAAACACTAGTGCATTTTTATTTAAATACATCTTTAAACATAGGCTATTTACTTTAGATTTTGTTCCTGGAGGCAACTTATTTTTTCTATCTCAACAGGCATTGACCTCTCAGAGCTTCTCTTTGGGAGGTGACCATGTGAAATTTCATATTTGTACTTGAGGCCACTGATCTTGTCATCATACTCTTTTTGAACCAGCAGCACATTGTTGAGAATTCATAGATGAATTTTATCTGAAATTTTATGATAAGGAAATAAATTGTTAAAAATATGGCCTACCCTTTGATATTAACTATAGTAATATATGGAACAATTATATCAGTATCATATTTAAAGCCATAATAAGCCCTGCCTCATGTATTTCTCAGGGAATTTTATTTTGCCCTGAGATTACCAATGATATAGGCTCTAAGGGCACAGACGCTGTCAGATGAGTGGCTGTGAGCCCTGGTTGAGCCCATTTTTTGCCATTTATTCCTGTGTTTACTTTTATGTGCTTACCATAGATGTTTTCCTTCTCACTTGTGTCTGCTACAGTAGTTCATGCTTAGTTACAGGTCAGGCGGAGAGGTGCACCTTCTTTATGTAACATGGGAAGTGTAAAGGAATGTTGCTATGGTAAGAAAACAATTCCAGGTTATATAAAATAATAAATAAAAATAATAAAAATAAAAAAAAACAATTCCAACAAAAGAATGAGGGAATGTATTAAAAATTATCTAGGATATGTTCAAATATGAGCTATTCATATTAAACTTCTTAATCATAAAATATTTAGTAGACAAGAAGTAATTTATTTAGCATGTATAAATATTAATTTTAGACAAATTATGTCCCAGTGTGTGCTTATGCACTAAACATTGATATATTTATTTGAGTTAACTAAAATACTTTGTTAATAGAAGTAACCATTATACATGAAATTTCCTCATTTAAGCCTATTAAAATGTCTCCCTGAAGCATGCGTCTATTGATAATTTTAGCACATTCAGCAATGGTGGCACATAGGTGGAAAATTATTTTTATCAAAATTTTATAATTAAAATATTGTCTCTGAAGAGAAAAATTAACAATATACAAGTACAGGTATTCCTAAAAATATCCATGATCTGACTCACTGAATGTCAGATATATTCATTTTGTATTCCTTGGATATGCATCCTGACTGAAATTGAAAAGTTCTTGGTATAAAGTCATACAACAAATTGTAGACAGACCTGTTCCAGAAACCTGGTATCCTAGTTTTTATCTACTGACAGTTCCACTGAAGGATGATAGTGTGCATTCTTTTGTTTTGTTCCAATAGGAAGACCTACCTGTATCTGTGCCCTGGGCTTTACTGGGCCCAACTGTGGCAAGGCAGTGTGTGAAGATTCTTGTCACAATGGTGGGAGCTGTGTTGTGACTGCTGGGAACCAGCCTTACTGTCACTGCCATTCAGACTACACTGGAGACAGATGCCAATACTGTAAGTGAAAGTGTCTTCCCTCAGCTTGCCAGCAGCATGCTTTGAAGTTTGTGTTAAGACCTTATATGTTTCACACCTGGGCTCTCCCTCTCTTCATTTTATCCATATCCCCATTTTTACAGGTTCATTCTCCTGTCACTTAAACTCCAATAAACTTTATATTTTCTCTATAATTTAAAAAAAATGTTTTTTATCTCTTTTCTTTCCCTGCTTAAGTTTAAAGGCCAATTCTTATAATTATTCCATTTGCATACATCACTCCCTTACTTCTTTCTTCTCCTGACAACCTGTAGGGATGATCATCCTTACCCATTCCCCACCTTCCTTAAGTAGCACAAGGGAATGCAATTAGAGAAAATGCAGAGGTGTTTCTGTTTTTCTCATCATCAGCTGGCTGGACAGAACCAGAATTCCTTCCTCCAACTTCCTAGACATTTATATCTCTTCAAGCACCCTCTGAAAAAGTCATATCCAAAACTTCCAATGCCAGTATCTGTTACTCACAACTGTGGCAGCAGCATTATTTCAAAATATGTTGGTTGTCGTATTCCTCTATCTCTGTTTCTCCATTGACTTCACTTCTGTTCAGTTTCTAAATATTGTTAACTGTGATTCTTACTTGATAACCGTTGTATAATATATTTTGCTATGTTAAGGTTAAAACCCTTCTTTTTATTTAGACAGAAAAGAGGAGATGATGGGAGATGTGATTATGTATATATGCTTCTCATACTGGTTAATGAATAAAGCACTGTTGGGCAATAGGAAAGCAAGATAGGAGGGACTAGGAGACAAGGAGGAAAGAGGAAGTAGTAAGGAGGAGTCAGGATGGAGAGCCTGGAGAGAACAGAACTGCCATTCCTCCACTCTCGGTAAACCCACGTGGAAATACATAGAAATGGGTTAATAATTAAGACAGAGCTAGCCGATAAGAAACTAGTAACCGGGCCAACAGAATTATATATAATACAGAGTCTCAGTGTGTTATTTGGGGCTGGCGCAGCAGCAGGACAAGACCGGGCGGCGGGTGGAAAAACCATACTTCTTATATTTTTCTGTGTACAATTTTTTTAAACCAGTGTCTAGATGACTTATCTCTAGGGTTTGTGTAGTTCCTAAGTGATAACTCTAAATCTATATCTCCAGATGAATCCTTAACTCTAAGTTTCAGATCTTATTTTCAATTTTCTGTGATAGGTCATCTTATTTCTCAGTTAATCTGACATTTCTCACCTTTAGTTATCACACTATCTTTCTTTTGTGCTTAAGAAGGAACATTTATTATTCAGTCCAAAACCTTTTAAGTCTTTGTTGACTCCTCAGAGTTTTTCATATTGTGTCTTCACCTTTAATGCACATCCAAAATGTGAGCCCTGCTCATTGACTCAACCATTCAAGCTGCTGGGGCATGTTTGTCAGTTTTATTACTCATCTATATCCATGCTTCCTCTATTTGCAACTGGGATATATTATCAAATGGCAATCACATTTGTATTTTTTATGTAAAACAAGATTTCTTTTTATTTTAAGCATATTCATTGAAATCTTTATGTGCATATTCTCAGATAATTGCTTTTCTCATTTTCATTCTGTTGATTCTCTTTATTCTTCAATGTACTGGGTATTATTATTTAAAATCATACTTTTAAAAAGACAGTGCCAGTGCAGCAGAAAGACTTTCTGGTGGCACCCACATATAAAGTTAAGTTACAGTCAAGATCTGAATCAGGCAATCATCCTTCAGGTTTCAATCATTCACTTCCTCCTTAGATTGAACTGATACTTACCTTTTTTTCAAGTCTGTTTTATGTCTCCTGGCTTTGATCATTTGGTTATTTGTTTATTTTATACTCCTCAGATTTGAAGCTTCTTTGAAATGATACCTAGCAACAACAGTTGATGAATAAACAAATAAATAGTAATTTCAAGAGAATATCTTGTAATATCAAGTAATATCTAAATGAAGTGGCCTGAAACTATTAATTAAAAGATAATCAATGTATATATGAAAAATGTTGGTTCAATGTGTGGTTAATCCATAGTTATTATGTATGTGTTCATGTAGTTTATATTATTTTGTTTTAAAGTGTTTTATATATTCTAAGCTGGCCCCAAGCTCATATAGCTAGTCAACAATGACATTGAAATTGTTAGAGGACATTAATCCTCCATGCTATCTTCAGACTGCGCAGAATACAGGCATGTCCCACCACACTCCATTTGGATTCATTTTTTTTAAAATCTCTTGGTCCATTAGCTTCTACCAATTGATGCACTATGCTCTATCAATTTTTTTGTATTTATTTTTAAGTCAAATAATCAGAATTCTTGAATCTCTTTGAATTGCCTTAAAATGCTATTAGCAATCATTACAAAAATTTGCATTCTTCCAAAGAACAAATTTAGTTAACTTGCATCTTAATTGACAACTTAATAGAATCACAGTGTGTGGCAGCCTGCTGCTTTATCAGGCTGTGTTATGATTTTATCCTTATTATTAGCAGTCAGAGTGCTTCCCGCCTTTTACTGAAAAACACTTACTTAAAATAACCAATTAATCCTTACACAAAGGTTAAATAATTTGCCCAAGGTCTTGAAGCACTCAGAATTAGACCCCAGGAGTTGTTGATCAACATGTCATAAAACATCCAGGAGAACACTGATGCTGTTCTTGGGTTTCACCATTAAAATGACAAATCCAACATTGGAGGACGTCTAATAAATTCAGAAACCATCAATTTGAGTCAGCAAAATTCAGTGGACCCACTGTTCTTTCAAATCACTCCCCTCGGTAAATGAAGGAATAACAGAATGGTTCATTATGGCACCTAATTACAGTATATTAGTGGGAGGTAAACATCAGTTCTTAGTTGTGCTGATTTAAACATCTCAAAACTTCGGTAGCAAGGTAAATTCTGAATGCAAATTCATTTTAGCACTACTGATTTGGTGGAAAAAGAAAGATATAAAAATATAAATGTTAGTAAAGCTGAAGCTTAATATCCTTTAAGTTGTTTGCTTAAAAACAAATAAATACAGATATGTTTTTCAAATGGGTCTAAAGCCAGGATTCCTGCTATCAATTAAAGCAAATAAGCAGAACACTGCACATTTAATTAGAGGTAAAGCCAAGATTATCTGAGGTTATTTTTAATTAAAGGACAGTAGCACTAGTGCAAAGCCTCTCATTAAGCCAGCTTACTCTCTTGACATTAGAAGAGCATGTTCATAGCTCCATCCTACACATTATCTGTGTAGACATGAAGAACTGTGTGTGTCTCTGCATCTGAAAAAATGACTCAGCCTTTAAAGGCTGAGGTATCCAAGCAAAAGAAGTTTAGTTAGACTACAGAGTTGAGAGACCTAAGAATAATGCAAAGATATACTATGGTTGGTATTAGAATTACATCTTATGAGTAATTACAGAACAATGTCTGAACTATGAGCATGCAACTATTGTATTGATGATATTATCAGATCATGTTTAGCACTTGTCTTCAGAGAAGCTTTGTGCTATGGTCAGTTGATTTCACATGGTGTCCTCTTAATGTTTGGCTTGGTGTGAACAGTTGTGTCAAATATTTCCTATTGCCAACTTACAATCTGGTGTGGTGTTCCATAAAGGAATTAAGATGTAATAGAAAAGTTAATGAAACATGGAGATGAGCAATAGTACTCAAAGAAAGAGCCTAAGATTCACTGTAAAGGAGTAATTTCTTCATGGAAATGATACCTGAGGGTGACCTGAAGAGAAGGTAGTCAAATGAAAGGGAATATGAGGGACATCATATGAATTAGAAAAGAGGTAAAGTCGTATGGAGGACTGCAGGTAACTGACATTTCAGTGTTCAGCTCACTAATCACATCCATACATGACATGCATTAAAAGACTTGAAATTTCTATCATTGCCCACAGAACATTTGAGATGAATATTATCAGCATAAATCCATTGTCTCTAAAATTAAATTCAGAAGTTTTTCTTATATTCTTCATTAGAGATTGCAAGATATGAAAACTACATGACCCCCAAATCAGGCTTCTTTTTTACTGTATCCCAGCATGTGATGCCCTGTCCACACAGTAGCATATAGCAATCTAGTCTACTTTGTTTATAAAAGGAATTTTAAGTTTGAGTTATTAAACTGATAGCAAGTTCTATGTGTTAGTTAGGAGGACTAGGCAATCTATGGGCCCTCTGATAATGCATCAGTGTTCATCCCTAGTATACTAATGGACTTTGGGAGCCCATTCCACATAATGAGATACTCTCTCAGCCTAGATATATGAGGGAGGACCTAGGCTCTGCCTTGAATGATTTGACTGCATTTAAAGATGACATGGAAGACCTCATCCACTCTGGGAGCACAAAGGGGATGGGATAGGGGTTGGTGGGGTAACAGAGGAGGATGGGAGGGTGCAGAAAGTAGGATTAACATGTAAAACACGATGGTTTCAAATTTAAATTTAAAAAGTTATCAAAAAAGACAAAACAAAAGGAAAAAAAGAATATTTTCAGATGATCCTAATATTACAAAGATGAATGGGAGCTGTGATGCTATTGACACAGGAAGTGGAATGCCCTAAAATCACTAACAGCTTCCACACCTGTCAAATTTGAGAATGTTCAGAGCAGTCACAGTTGCAGTGGCATAAGTTCTGGACCACAGTTTACCCAGTGTCATGAGTTCAATTTCTCTTGAGAAGACAGAAGGAACATCTTGACTGCTCCACTAGAAGTGACAGGTGGCCTTGGGGTTTGCCATGTTCTATCAGCTCTGCTGGGTTTGCAATGCCTGGAACCTGAATGAATATGCAAAAAGCTATGCCTGTAACATACATGAGTATGAAAAGAGCTGGTTCCCTGGAACATCTGTGAGTATGCACACAGAGAGTGACTTCAACATGTGAGGGTGTACATAAACAGTGCCTTCAACATTCATGAGTGTGCGTGCCTGCAACATTTGTGAGTGTACATAGAGCTAGTGCCTGGAGCATCTGTGACAATATAAAGAACACCACCAAAGCTAATATCCCTGTGTCCAGTCAATTTTTGTGCTCTGGCAGAGCAAGGTTCTGGGAAATGTTTCCATACTAGCTCATTGCAACCACATCCTTCATAAAAAGGTGCTCACTAGGCAATTCTGGCTGACATTTTACACAATCAAATCTACAAAAGTAAAGATTGTATCACTTCAGGTCAGTGGTTTGCAACATTCCTACCACTACAGCCCTGTAATACAGCTGCTCATATTGTAGTGGCCTTCAAACTACTTCATAACTCTTATTTTGTGAATGTTATGGATCATATGATAACTAACTCATATGTGATCCCTGTGAAAGACCCCTTTGATCCCATTGCATAGGGGTCACAACACATATATTGAGAACTGTTATACTGGGTATTCTTGTGTGTGCTGTTTGTGAACGTGTGTGTCATGCTTCTGATGTCATGCCTGTTGCTTTTCCCCTCTCTCATCATGGTGGACATATTCTTCTAGAAACATATATTAAAGAAAATAATCTTTTCAAGTTGCCCTTGATAATGGCTTTCAATAACAAAGCAGAAAAGCAATTAATATATTAGTTGGTGCCTGAAAACAGGCTCTGTCTTTGAACATGCTGACAATATTATTTTCTAGAAGAAAGTTGAAGACTTCGAAGCTTCTAATAGGCACTCTAATAGGAGCCTAAAGTCAGGGATGCTGAGAGCAGAGCAGATGGTAGATGCTCATAAAAGGTGTTTCCGTGGAGAACAATTTTAGTAACTAAGATAGGTGAAAATTCTTGCCTCTTTCTGCTCTTACCTTATGAACTTACTTAAGGCAAAATTAAAGGCATAGATTTTTCAGCAGAGGAAATTTCAGTCCAACAGAATGCTAAAATGTGACATAGGTGTTACCAATAATTTATGCACATCAGCAATGAAATGAGCAACTTGACAGAGAAAATATACATAATTTTTAGCTTGGAAAGCAAAAGAACACTAGGAAGATTAATGTTACATACATAGTGTGTGCCAGAATTGAGACTATATTTCTTGTTAGGAGATTAGCATCATTGAGGTGAAATGAGTTACTGTACATTAAAGTTTCTCAGAGGGCAAGACCAGACCCATGTCTTCTGCAAATTATGAAAGAAAGCTTTATGAGTTTACAGTTCTGAAAGTGCAACTGAATTAAGAAGTTGCTGCTAATGTGATTTGAAGGGTTTATGATACAGGACATCCAAACCTGATGGTGTCAGTCATATGGTAATGGCTTTAGAGGCATTAATAGTATAAGTATTTTGGGGCAATGGATTGATGTTTCATGGTTTTAGAAAAATTGATGAAACAGCTTGTGGTAGGGGAGTTCCTGCTTAAAGATCTGAAGTGAAGCCATGGTTTCAGGGAAGATTGCAAGATGACAGAATCATCTATTGTGGGAAGCTAAATTCAGGTTGTGGAATCAGCCCAGCAGAGACAAATGTGTGCAGGTAGCAGTGCTCAATGGATGCACCAATTTAAGATCATTGACACTAGACATTGAGCTACAGGAGTTGCTTTTACTCTGATGAGTCTAGTTTTGAAGTATTTCCTCACTGTATACTCAATGTACCCATTCAGAGTAGTAACATATAGTCTGTGATATTACATGTTGGAAGTCTAAAATCTGCCTTCAGTTTTTACAGGTGGCTAAAGTTAACACATTGTCTTGAGTCTTGGAACAGATTTTTAACTTTTGAACAGTGTTGAAACAATGAAAGAACTTAAGGACTGTTGGAGTTGGATTTGATGCATTTTTCCTTATGATAGGGCTCTGGGCATAATGGAGTCAGGGAGTAGAATGTCAAAGTATGAATGATAATTGAACACTTTGTCTCTAGTTGCCAATATTGCTTTGTGACTCTTAGGAAGAATGGCTTATGCTAGAAGAAGTATGTCACTAGGGATGGGATTTGAGAATGGATTTCCTCAACTTACATTCTGTTGTTTACTTTATGCTGTAATAACAGATGTGGTCCCTCATATTCTTATGCCTGGTGTCATGCCTGCAACTTTCCCCCATGCCTCCACATTACCTAATGGATTCTTAGTTCTCTGTAACCATATGACAACATAAACTCTGAATTATTGCTCTTATATTAAGCAAAATAACATAATTTATAACACTGAAAGAAATATATCATAGCATCATTTAAATGTTTGGTTGTTCCTTCTTCCTAGATGTGTGCCACCACTATTGTGTGAATTCAGAATCATGTACCATTGGGAATGATGGAAGGGTTGAATGTGTTTGTCCAACACGATATGAAGGACCGAAATGTGAGATTGACAAATGTATACGATGCCATGGGGGCCACTGTATTATAAGTAAAGACAATGAAGATATATTTTGCAAGTAAGTAGACATCTTGCTTGATTTATAAAATACCTACATGCTAATATAAGAAGTAAACCATGAAGTCAATGTAATTTTTTTTCGAAAGTTCTGCATGTCCAACAGTTAATTTTTTAAAGCTACAGATGAAGTTCAAATAAGCTCATTCTTCAACCCTTTTGCAAATAACCAAAGCAGGTGAACATCAATGGTGTTAACAGATTTTCCAGTTATAAAATATGCCCCAGACCCTCAGAATGAGGAGTCTCCCTATTTCAGTTGGTACCCCCAAGAACTCAATGTCCAGTCCATTTGATGCAATAAGCAAGAGGCTTTAATGAACCGGAAATGTTTACACAAATGGGCACCCTCAGTTCAAAGGCTAGAGAGAAGCGTCATTCTCCCAGCGTGGGTATTTTTAAAGGAAAAAGCCACAAGCTTAGGGAGGGGCTGTGACCATCCTACCATTGAGTATGTGGCCAGAGTCATGGGCTCCAGCATGTTCTTTATCTTTTTTAGATGGTCTCACTATTTAGGTCAGCAGACCTCAGGGTATGCTAATCAATCTTGCCTAAGCAAATGGGAGTTGCAGCTATCTCTTTGTTTCTCTAGGACCCTGCTGACACATTGACCAGAGGGGCAGTTTGTTACCCCTTGAGTTCCCTGGAGGAGGTTGACCATATGGAAATGCTTGGTATCTGGCTATCTTAGGGCCTTGTAAGGGAGAAATTGCAGGTGGTTAGCAAATTCCAGGAACTAAGTCACAGTGGCCTTGGTCAGCTTTCTAGGTCAGACTGCCCTGCATTCCAGTTATTTGTGCTCCATTACATTTATTTGCTAGTTTAAGTCTTTCATAAGAAATAAGCAATAGCAAAAAATATGTTGTAAAATTTACAGATAGAGCTAAGGATAGGACCATATTTTCTAATAAGGATTTATTTCACAGGAAAAACAAAAGGAGGAGAAGAAAAAGGGGAAAGAGGTGGTAGTGGAGGGCATGGAAGAGATGAAAAAGGAAGGAAACAGCAGTAATAGGTACTTATATTATCTGGTAGTGAAAGCTCATCAACTCAAGATCATTTTAGTGTATAAAGGCCAGTGTCATGCTCAGCAGGTGAGGCTGGTAGGCCTAGAATCTAAATACTTTTGCATATTATTTATTTTCAATCGTTGGTTTTATTTAGTTTTAGATTTTCACTGATTAGCTTTATTTTGACAATAAAAATTATGAAGACATAAATAAATCACACCAGTAAGTGTTATATTCAATAGAGTGGGGTAGGAGGAATGTGAAATTGTAGAGCAAGTTTTATCATGTTGAGTTCAATCCCCAAACCCTCTTTAACCCTCTTTTTAGAGGGACATAACCAACTCCTAAGCACTGTCTTCTGATCTCCATACCCAAAGCATCTTGAGTGCTGGGATGATAGATGCAAGTGCATGGAATGTTCAATATAGGCTTTTAGTAATTTCTCATTATCAGTCACAATGAGTAGATTCAAATTTTTTATTGCTGCTTTATGATTAAGTATCTTTTGGGATTACAATTTTATTTCATTGCCTTTAATTGATCTTTCTGGAGAGAAACAATATATATCCCCAGTGGATGTAGGTACTAAGATTTTTCGTTTCCTAGTCTGATTTTGGAAATTTCTAAGTAAAACAAAAACATGGAATTATAGGTTCTAGCAGAATGGATATGTTCAAGTTCTACTTTTGTTGCCTTTTGAAATTTGTTTTTACAATAAGTGAATGGGAGCAGATCCCAGGAGCTAAGGCTCATGCTATTCAACTTGTATCATGAAACAAGTTCTTGACATGAGCTGAGAGGTCAGCCCTCATGTCAAAGTACTTTGAACAACCCTCTGAAAGAAGTGCCTGTAAAGGAGTTATTCTGACATATACTTTATTTAGGAGGTTAATGAATGAGAGCAAGGGACATAGAGTGTGCCATAAAGTATCCCTGCTACTGAGCACTCTAGGAGTTGTAAGATGAGTTATGTTACTCTGACAAACAAGATCCAATAAAATTTTATTATAGGCAATGTTGTAATTTTTATTTATTTTTTTACTCATTCCCACTTTAGAATTTACTATAAATGTGTTCTGTGTTATCTTTGTGAAAAGTATATGATAAACTCAGCAATTTGGATCATTTGAAAGCATAATTTATTATTCTAAGTCAAGAAGTAATTAGAAATATGACCGGTATTTCATTAATAAATATATAAAATCAAATAAATATTCACATGTATCCCCCAAGTCACATGTACTCATGAAGCTCCACAGTTCTTAAAACTTAAAGAACTTTATTTCAATATTTCAATTTGTGGATGTGGGGACATTTTTTGTTTGTTGTTTGAAACAAAAAGAGATACAGTAAAATAAAACAAAAACCATCACATTGAACAACACAAACTAACAGAAAGAAAAAATTTGTCCCAAGAGAAGTTAAAAGAATCAAAGATCCATATTTTTTTGCACATTCAGGAGTCCCACAAAAATACTTAACTGAAAGTTATAATGTATCCACAGAGGGCCTGGTATAGACAAGTGTTGGCATTGTGCCTTCTACTTTGGTCTCAGTAAGTTCATAGGAGCTTTGTTCACTTAATTAAGAGCATCTTCTTCTTCTGCTGTTCTTCTTTTCTTCTGGCTCTTAAACTCTTTCTTCCTCATCCTTCACAAGCTTTGCTGAGCTCAGAATGGAGGGATTTGATGGAGAAATTCCACTTGGAGCTGTGTGTTCCAAGGTTTCACTCTCTTCATAATATCTGGCTGTAGGTTGGTGTATTTTCCCCTGTGCTGAAAGAGAAAAACTTCTCTAATGCTAGCTGAGTAAGGCAATGATCCATGAGTAAAGCAGAATATCATTAAGTGTCATTTTTATCACTACATTCTAAATAATTATTTGTTTGATTTTGGATCAGTAGAATTTATTTTAGCCTAGGATTCTGCTATTTAGTCTCTCATGCTTCACTGCTCAATCATTACCAGATAAAGATTCCATATGATGAAGTGGGTCTTAAACCAAACCAGACATTGGTTAATTATTCCATCAAATTTTGTGCCACTATTGACCTAGTATATTTTGTAGGCAGGGAAGATTGTAGATCAATGGTTGTGTGGCTCAGTTGGTGTTTATGCTTCTCTTTGTTACCCTGAAAATCACCTCCCCATAACAAAGATACTAGAAAATAGAAATAAAGTAACAATGGAGGCACTAGCTTGATCTCTTTATGTTCAGTTAGTTTTTGGGTGTTTTCTTCAACAATGGGGCATTGCTGTTGTTTTGAAGAAAACAACCTATTATCTTGGCAATAGCCTTGGTGGTTTAAGATTTCCATAGGAGCCTTTTGGCCAAAAATTCATTTGGATGTAACCCAGTCTCAATAATGGAAGTTTTATTTGGTGATAAAAAATTGCCAGCTGGGATTCCATCTCCTTCGCTATTTGCAGACTTTATTAGGATCACCTTCATATACTTAAAGAAGTTTCCACTGCACTGGGTTGTGTTTGTGATGTCCTCTCTTCCACATCAGAAGGAGTTACATAGTATTTTTGATGAGTCTTTTCTACTTACACTGATATTTGTGACTATAAGCTGTCTACAGATTCAATTGTAAAAGTGGCAATCATTACATATCCTTTCTCTTAGAGATAAAGGTAAATATTATTGAGGAAATACTTGTGCTTCATGTAGAATATCTCAGAAAGGATCAATTTGATATTAAATTTACTAAGAATTATTTATATTTACTGGATAACTTATAAGGAACATTTGAGAAGTAATTAAACCATGATCTATAAATTTGATTGAAATATATGTGATTTTATAGATATAGCATACTGTAGATTGAGTTGTTAAGTGGTATTTGTTCCTTGTTTTAAAATATTTGTAAACTTCTATCTTCAATTTAAAGTTCAAATAAAATAATAATAGGAATAAGCAATAGTTCTAGCTATTGAAAGCAAGAATTTGAAACAATTAATTTTACATTGTTTCCTCTTTTAGATAGCATAGTTTGGTATATAGTTATCATTTTATGTAAAATTCTTCAATGTAAAATGAGATAATTTTTCCTCTTTGACATTATTCCTTTAATGGAATAAGAAACTATAATTTTTCTGTCTACTTTTTAAAAATCAAGCTAGGAAAGAATAAAAGCCAGTGCCTTAACACTTAACAGTACTGTTTGCTGTATATTTTGCTCACTTTGCATGTGTATTGCAAAGCCATTTTTCAATATCAGAAATATGAGACCGCACTCACCTATCCCATGATGGACTTTATTTTTACAAAACCCATTTTACAACTTGCACATCGTTAATTTACTACTTCTATTGATAATTTAGCAGATAAGTTAATTAATCACTAGTATTACAGTCTGACCAGTTTGCCTAATTGTCAACCTTCAGGCCACTAGAGTCTCTACTTGACAGAGATGGGTAGCATTCCCAAGTATGACACAAAATGTAGTCCTCTGGCCTCCACATGCACACAAGAACATAAATGCATGTGCACCTATACAAATATATGTAGCTTCACATAGAATTAAAATAATTGCAATCCTAGAATTTCTCTTCAGAAAATACTACAGTGAGATCAGAAAAGGCTAGTAGTACTTCTTTAGGGTGTCTCATAATTCATACTGATCTTACCAAGTACTAATTAACTGAAAAAGAAATTTGTACTGTCCCAAACATATAAGTGATAGACACGAGCATATATCTAGATGCTTTAAAGTTTTATCAAGAAAACAGTTTGAAAATTAGCAAAATATCAAAATATTCTATCATCGTTCTAGTAAAATGAAAAAAGAACTGCCTCCAGAAATATCACATCTGGAAAAATTACATTTAGATAGAAACTAGAATATTCTCAGATGATGCACATTATAGATTTCAGGTATTTTGTGTCAGCACTCAACAGCAATAATCCTGGAAGTAACAATGTTTTCTTCTTTTCTTTTTCTTTTGTTGTTGCAGCTGTACTAATGGAAAGATTGCCTCTAGCTGTCAGTTATGTGATGGTTACTGTTACAATGGTGGCACATGCCAACTGGATCCTGAAACTAGTGTACCTGTGTGTTTGTGAGTATTTACTAATATGGATAATTTAAGACAGAACTGCATTTACCTAGAGTCACTATCCTATTGTTTTCCTTTCTTGGGGCAATATTTTCTATAAGTGGGTATATCATGCACACCTCAGTCAATTGTCCCTCATTGGCTCATGTGCTACATGATCCCTTTCTCATAAGCTTATTAAAGATCTCATGAGGAATAACTCATTTAGTTCTTAGCATCATTTTATACATTCAAAGTTTTTCAACTTGGAAATTCTTGGGAAAGTGCTCTTGTTTTATTGGCCTTATTAAGCTATGTGGAACCTACAGATCTGTAGATCAGTGTGTGTGTGTGTGTGTGTGTGTGTGTGTGTGTGTGTGTGTGCGTGCGTGCATGTGTGTGTGTTTGCATTCCTCAGTACTTAGGAATATTTTTGTCAAAACAATATGGACTGTGTTTTCAAATATATAATGTTATCTGATTTTTACATCAGACTTAGAGTATAGAATGATATAAACAAATTAAGTCATTGTCTCTTTCAGAGTTCATTATATGCAAACTAAACGCCTAGGGAATTTAATATTTTTCTCCTCAGTTTTCTTATTTTTCTAGAGCAGACCACCTAAAGCCTTTCCATTGGTGTGCTCAAACTATTGAGTTTTCTTTTAACTGAGAAAATAATTGATGTCCACAAAATGAATTCCATAAGCTTCCTGCTCCCAAACTCCTCAAAGGAACTTGCTATCAGCATGTATGTGAGGGAGGAAAGCATTCCCAGGAACATTTTTATTTTATGATACCATTAATGTATATCATAAATTTAAATATATATGGCAAAAAAGGTAGACGCTTTATTCAGTTGTATTTTACTGGAATTCTGCAGATGCTCTGTGGGGTTTAAAAGTCAGCGCTGTGACCAGAAAGAGAACCCTTGTGATCACTACTGTCAGAATGAGGGGATTTGCACTTTAACTGCGTTTAATGAGCCGAGATGCAAGTAGGTTTAACCTTCCACTTACTGCTGCGCTTCCTGTGACATCATTTCAGGCCACAGTTCATTGGTTTAAATCATGAACATCCACATGCATTTCACAGTGTATACTTAATCTTGGGGCTTATCTCTGTCACATGTACTTAACCTATGCTTCGCTCACAGGTAAGTGTGTACCTCGCAGACTGCTAGAGTGCATAGAAATAAAGCAAGTGATGAAAAAGCTACTCATGCTGCTTTGTAAAAGCATGTATGCCAGAACAGTAGATACTAATCCAAGAAGGGTATAAACAAGTAGCTTAAACTCTGTAACTACTATATTTGGAATAGTGATTTTTTTAACTTCAACTTTTCTATTTCACAAACTGATAAGATAATAAAATGTTTGTTTTTTAAATTTACATGGGAAACTGAATGATTTACTAAGACAGGGAATACAAGCATACCAGAGTATTACAAGAAATTTAATTTCATTACAGATTTCATTACAGTTCACATTATTCTTTCTTCTTTCAGTTTGTGGTTAGTTGGAGTTGTCCATGGAAAGTAAACATCTTTTTTTCCCCCTTTGGTTCCAGGGTTACTTCTGATCTCTCTGGGCTCGCCAGAGTTAATGTTAATTTTTCCATATGTACTTGAGATTTAGGGATAACACATATCTGGCGTCTTCCTTAATATTCACTGTTAAAATCATGAGATTTGATGGACACTTTGGAGTAGCCTCACTTGAGCTGTGGTCAGCCTACCTAACAAAACTGTAAAGCACTGTTGTGTTGAAATTCTAGCATTTAATTTCCAATATTCAGCTGTTTGGTTATAATGAGCTGCTGGGGTTGTAAAGTGTAAGCTTTACCTGAATAGAGCTGGCTTTGAAGATGGCAGTTCCATTTAAACCAAAGAGAAATGTTCTGGTGATCATGGTTCCTAGACAAATGTTTTGGTGACACTTCAGAGGGAAAATGGTGCTGGATCCTGGGCATGCATGAGAAGGGAAGCATAGATGCACAGTGAGTCACTGGTATACAGACTAACTAAATTCATGTGCTTCTTGGCCACAAAATAATGAAGACTTATTTCAGGTTAGTTTTAACATCCTAGTAATCTCTGCCCTGGATCCAAGACTTGGTTTATCTTGTCAGTGTTTCAATGCTTGCATGAAAAGTCTGCACGCCATACCATGTCTGGTTTGCCTGTTCATGATAAACAGGTACCAGGATAACTTCCTATGCAAGGATTCCCTACATTATCAGAATAAGAAAATTCATTTAAATAGCCATGGGATTCAACATTAATATTTAATTTTAAGCAGATAGTACCATGGTCTAATAATCAGTGAATTTGGGAAACTCAGCAAGAAGAAAGCATGGTATTTACAGGAGTTTAAGGACTGTCCTTTATTTTTATGTAACATTACCTCTGTGTATATTTTACTTTTTGGAAGTTGTGTCTGTATTTGGATTTTTCTATCTCCTTCATTTTTTTGTAGGCAGAAGTACAAATTATGTTTATGATACACATTTGAAACAGTTAAGTTACAAAAGAAGTATAAAGAAATTATGGTATTATATGTTCAATAATTCATTAACTAAATATAAATAACCAATGATTAAGACATTTGCCAATTTAAATACCTTAGTAACTACAAAACAAGACACAGAAATACATTATATATTTTATATGACTTTTATGCTATTGTCCAACTGCCATACCTTCTTCACAATGACACAGTGGTCACACAAGTCTGATTACCTTTGCCAGGTTATGAAACTCTATGTCCTGTACTTTAGTCTTCCTAATATATAATGCTGAGGAACTGAAAATTCATTTTCAGTAGGCGAAAAACTCTGAAGAAAAAAATAAAAATTAGCCATTAATTTTTATAATACAAATATTAACACAGTACAGGGTTAAAACAGATTATTTATGATTCCAAGTGTGAGAATAAAAGACATTTTATGTGTTGGTAATATTTTGAAAAAAAAATTACAGGAGTCTTAGAAGTGAGGAACAGCTGAAAAAATTGAGGAAACCAGAGCATGGTCAGAGTAGAATCTAAGTGGATGCAACAAAAACAGTGCATGTTACTGAGGGCAAGAGACCACTGGGAGCAGGGATGCTGAAGACACTTTTTGAGGCCTGTTTGCTCCCCTGGAGATTAATTAAGAAGAAATACAAGATGGAGAAGTTTATCCAGAAGGAGTTTCTTGTGCACTGAGGAAGTAGAGAATCTCCAGTGGTTTCAGTCCCAGAAAGCTAAGCATTACATGTGTCTCATTGTATTGGAGATAGCAGCTATTGAGAGACATGTTTGAAGCCCTAGTCAAACAGAATTCACACAGCTGAGAATTTTAGGATGAGGAAGATAAGAACACCAGGGACTTCACATTGTATAGTTAACATTTCAATGAAAGAAAAAATACAGAAGACTGGACAAAAATAATTTTGCAGTGGGATACACTATACCATTAAGAATGTTGTTCTTATTAAAGTCCGGCTTTTAAGCAATACAGTGGTAGGAAAGTAAGATCAGGTGTTTTCTCATGCTCATAGCTCCTAAAAGGATATTTCATCATATTTGAAAATAAAAATAAAAAGGCCTTAGCTATGTATAGGATATGTACAATTCTTATAGTTATAGCATGTAAAAAAAAGTATAAGAAAAACTTATTATCCCTTGTGGTCATATGCAATAAAAAGCAATCAGCCAGATGGCTCCCATGGCATCCTTCCAGTAGCCAAATCCCCGTATGTGTGGAGATGTTTACTAAGGTGGGTTTTAGCATGATCTCTAATGGTAATTATCAGTGTCTTTAGTGAAAACTTGATGTGTACTATTTTATCTAAAATCTTTATAGGAAACAAAAGCTGATATGAGAGTCTCAACCTGGTGCTTGCTATAGTTTCAATGGCATATCATTTTTCTTTTTCTTGGAGAGAAATACTATCTGAACTGTATGGATTAATACATGTGGTTGGAAAGTCAATAAAGTATTCAGATCCTATGAAGGTGACAGCTCGGTTTTTCCACCTAGAAATTTTATTGCTATATCCTTCAATTTAGGAAACAGATTTGTTCTTTGAAAGCCTTCACTTTTGTCTCTAGATGGCTGTTTTCCTTTATTACTTTGTGAGCAACAAAAAAGAAATTGGCAAAGAAAAGCAAAGGAATAAAACATAGTATTTTTTAAATTTACTTGAAGTATATTTCATCAGTTTTCAAATAGGCCACTGACAAATGGTAAAACTATATTTAATTTTTTCATTGTGCTATTTGACATATCATTAAATACATTTTATTATGTTATAATACTAGTAAAGAATTATATTTAAATTTTGTTATTTTTATTTCATGCATATGGTTGATTTGTATGCATCTATGCATGTATGCTTATGTGCCACATGCATTGCTGGTTTCTGCATATGCTATGAGATGGTAGTGGATTCCCTGCAATTGCAGTAAAGATGGCTGTGACCCACCATGTAGATCCTTGGAATCAAACCCTGGTCCTTTGAAAGAGCAGTTAGTGCTCAAATATCTTGAGCTCTCTCTCTAGCCACATGATAGAAAATATATGGAACTCAGTAGTAAGTTGTACATCCTTCCTGGAGTCTAAGAATCTTCTATAGGATTAGAGCCACACTTATATCAGATAAAGGTTTGTATGCAACAATAGTATCCCTCCATGGCATTACTTTATATCAATACTTAGTCATCCACAACACAGAGGTGCTTAGCACTGCTCTGCCCTCCTGTACTTCATTGCCACTCCACAGGCACATTGCTGTACACACAGCCCCTGCAGAAGCAGCTGCATGCTACACCTCTGTGTTTACTCAAGAAGCTCACTAATACCAGTGCCAGTCTGCTGTTTTATCTAGCTAACTCTTCATTTTGTATTGGTAACAATTAACAGATCACTTCTTGTATGTGACAAGTAAATAGTAAAAACTGGTTGAATTATACTTAATTGAAACTTTTACAAAGACTCAAATACAATGAGAAAAAGATATAAATTTTGCCTTTTGTCACTCT